GGCGGTGGGGGGCACAGGCCGTGGGGGGAGAGGGCCCCCCTGCACAGGTGGGACCCTCACCTGGAAGAGCAGAACCCCCTGCCCCTTCCCCGGAGCCGCAGCCCTGTGCTGTGGCTGCTGCAGCCTGGCTGTGCCTCGGTTTCCCTGGGGGAAGGAGGGGGGAACCCCTCCCCAGCCCCTTTTAAGGACACACTGCAAGTGGGGTGCAGTCCCCTACCCCCCAGTGCTTGTCCCCTGCCCTGCTTGAGCCCTGGGGTGCTGCTGGGGGGGGCACACGAAGCCTTGGCAGCTCCCCCCGCCCCCTGCAAGGCCCCCCTGGAGCAGGTTGGGCGCTGGGATGCTGTGGGGCAGAGCTGGTCCCTGGGGCTGAGCAGCAGCCGAGGAGGCAGGGGACCCCGGTGTGCCCTCGCTGCTGGCCCTGGGCCCACACTGTCCGGGGGGAGCAGGACCCCCTGCCCCCAGCTACAGAACAGAGCTGGGGGCTGTCAGGGCAGGTATGGGACAGGGAACTTCTAGTGCCTCAGTTTCCCCACCTTTGGGGGTGGGGGGAAGCCCCAGGGCCCCTTAACCAGACCAGGCTGGGGTTGAACTCAGGGGCTTTGGGCTGGGGGGACCCTGCTGTGCCCCTCCCCAGCTCAGGCCCAGCACCTGCAGGCAGTGGCCTGGTGGGACCCCACTGTCCCTATACCCCTTGGGGACCCTGGCAGGGGAGACCCCTCCTGGCTGACAGCAGGGCCCTGGGGCCCCCAGCTGCCCCCCCCCACCCCCCATCATCACCCCCAGCCTGAGCCCATGGGTGCTGGGGGGCAGCTCAGGGACGGTCCCCGTGCTCTCCTCCTGCCACCACCCCTGGGCCATCGGCACCTGGAGCCTCCCCCACCCACCACTACCAGCCACTGGTCCTGCTGCCCTCCCGGCCCCTTCAAGGGGAGCAGGAAGGGGGTGGGGGTGGCGGGGGATGCTTGTCCTGTGGCACCTGGCCTGGGTGCTGCTGGGTACTGACCACCACCGCCCCCCAAATCCTGCCTGGGGCTCCACTTGTCCCAAAGAATAAGGCCACCACCTGTCCTTGGGGAAGGGGCAACACGGGGCCCGCCCGGAGGGGGTCACATCTTTATTAATAAAATAGCCCGTCCCTTTGTCCCTGCCTCTCCTGGCACC